CACACACACACACACACACACACACACACACACACACACACACACAGAGACACAGACACACACACACACACAGACACACAGACACACACACACACACGTGCGAGTAAAGTCGACCACTTTAGTCAGGATCATCGCTAACTCTGGGCAATGTGGTGAGTCCTTACCTATCAGTCAAACACATCCTGGGAAGACTGCCGTGGTTCACCCTGCTGATGAGATGTGCTTTGTTTTTGTGAAGTTGTGTATTACACACAATCATAAATCTTCCTTTCAGACTCCACCTCTGATATCAACGGTTCCCCTTGTGCAGCTCGGACCCCTCTGTGCTTGTCGCACTGTTGGGATAACGGTTGTCGGCAAGAGGACCTGAAGAACCACTGTCAGCAAGACCATCAGAAGCACTACTTTTGGTGTTAAGCTGCTCCTTTTCTTCTTGACCATCAGAAGAACTTGTTTTGGTGTTGAGCTGCTCCTTTTCTTTTTCCATAACTTCTGCAATACCTTCCTGATAACCTTGGACAAAACTTCTCAAGCCATCCCTGTATGCTGCCGCCCGTGTCAGATAGAGCTGCTGCAGCATAGGCACCGCTCCATTTGCACCAGCCTTTGCTATGGCAGCTGCAAGACCAAACCCGAACCCAAATACAAATCCAAACCCAAATGCAACAAACCCTAACCCAAACCCTAAACCCAAGTGTGAATGCAACAACGGCAATGTTATCGAAGACCAAACCCAAACCCAAACCCTAAACCCCAACCCAAATCCAAATGCAACAAAGGAAATGTTCCCAAAGACCGAACCCTTAACCCAAACCCAAACGCAAACCCAAATCCAAATGCAACAAAGGAAATGTTCTCAAAGACCAACAAACCCTAAACCCAAACCCAAATCGGCATGCGACAAAGGAAATGTTCTCAACAAAAAAAGATCCAAAAGTTACAAAAAAGAAAAAAGGCAAGAGAGCAAGATGGGAGGAGCAGCTACTGGCAAAATGCTCACTGTTTGTGTTCGCCATCACCGCCCCCCGCCCGCCCCCTCCCCCTGCCCACCCCCCGCCTGCCCCCCAGCAACCAGCAACCCCACCCTACTCCCTGACCACTGCAGATTAGGGACGGGCACGGGCATTCATCCCCTTGACTGTGAGAGGTAGCGGTGGGTGCAGGGGACCCCTGTATAGGCTTGGGAGTAGTGGTAGGTAGGTAGTAAAAGTGGATTTGAGAGGGGAACAGAAAAAAAAAAGCAAAAAAAAACGTTAAGCAACGTCCCAAACTAAGAGGAACTAACCAATAAAGATCTTGACGGATCTCGATACTATTATCAGATACTTGACCGTAATGCAAAATAGAAAGGCAGAAAAAAATGAAAACAGACCTATCCGAGAAATGAGAGGGGGAAAAAAAACTCCTTAGTTTTTTGCGTCTTGTCCTTAAAAATCTTCTCTGCATTGTTTAAATTTCCACGAAACATTTCAAAGGACGAAGAACAACATTTCATTCCTTTGTTCTTCCTTTCTTTTTCCCTTTCCTACAGCTTCTTCAATCGTTTTGACTACACGAAGCCTCAATTTGAGCAGGAAGGGGAATGCGATGAACACATCTCATGGCTTCCCTTGACCGTTTAAACTTTCAACAACACAAAGTGAGTCCACGAGCACCATCTACGGTCGTCATGGGACAAAACGAGAGAGAGAGAGAGAGGGGATTCTTCTTATTCTGCTTTCTTCCTCCTGTCCTACATTGCTCCTCCTCCTTCCCGTCCGGAGCTCTTCACCTTCTTCTGGGTATGAGAGAGAGAGAGAGTCGAGAGTTGAGATTGGGTGACATGGGAACACAGACCGACATTGGACCGAGACATTGAGGAGACTATTTGGAGACTACGTGAGTGACATTTGAGTTGACGACAACTCCATTCTCCTTCGTCATCTCTTCCCCCTCCTCTTCATCTATGGATGTTTGCTGGTCCGGCGCCCTTTGTCTGTGTATTGGGCGCCAGGACCCCTCTCACCCTGCCTGATGATGATGAAGGCGTTGCAGTCAGTCTGTGTCGTTGAGTCAGATCATGGTATATCAGTCTTCCACTGCGTTATCTGTGCGGTTGTCGGTTCTGATCCTTGCCTTATAGGCATGCGACATGTTCACGGACACAAAGGGCTTGTTACAGAAAGCACCCAAAGCGCCTTCTTCCTGGGAAGCCTATAAGGCAAGGATCAGAACCGGCATTTAGTGGTTGAGAGAGAGAGAGAGAGAGAGAGAGAGAGAGAGAGAGAGAGAGAGAGAGAGAGAGAGAGAGAGAAAGAGAGAGAGAGAGGAGAGAGGGCATTTAGTGTGGAACTGCCATGGAGTGGTGGTTCCGAAGGTCTTGGGTTCAAGCCTAAGGGCATACTCACAATAGCACTTTCTTAAATGTATCTGACTGCAAATTACAGCCGGGCGTGGACGAATCTGACTGCAACCACGTCCAGAGCGAAGTTGAAGAAGTCCTAGTGTGAGTTCGCGTTAAGGGTGGTGTTCGATTGGAGGGGGACCAGGAGGAGGTGGAGCACAAATCAGAGGAGGAAGAACCTGTGTGCGGCGGCGGAGGAGGAGGAAGAGGTAGGTGCGAGGAGGAGAAAGGGCAGGGGAGAGGAAAAGAGGAGAAACGGGAGGAAGAGGAAGACAAAGGGGAAAGAAAACAAGGGGAGGAGGCGCAGCAGGGAAGAGGAGGAAGAGGAGGAAGAGGAGGAAGAGGAGGAAGACGACAAGCGGGAGGATGATCAAAAGAAGACGTTGAAGAATGAGAATTGCATGGAAGAGTAGATAAGATGTCAGCTGCTTACACAACTCCTCAGCCAGCGTGGGCTCGTCCTCCTTTTTCTTCTTTCCGGATTCGTTCACCTCTAGTTCCTGTCCCCATAAGGTGTGCCTCCAACTTGCCTTGTACAGCACCCACGCTTCTCGAACCACCTGTGTCAGAAATATACATTTACAATTTTACACAAGAAAAAGAGAAGGAAACATATATTTAGTATTTACAGGATAAGAAAAAACAAAGAAAAAAAAAGGAAAAAAAAGGCGAAGAAAGAAATATTTACAGTATGCGAACAATAACAGTTGTTGTCAACGAGATAGAGCCATGGCATGGCTCCCCTGCAAAGCCTGGGGCGTACTCACAAGTATGTGGACACAATTGGGGTCAGATACCTGCAGGGCGTACCATAATTGTGGCCAGATGCATTAAAAAAGGTCACAATGTGGGTATGCTCTTTAGTTGGATAGATCCGAGCTATACATAGGTGCACGTATGCCCTCAGGACGATGAGGTCCCACTAGCAAAGAGGATTAATCCTCTAGCAAAGATGATTGGATTAAGCTCCTGAGTCTGGACGTGTTTAGAGCAGAGAGCAGAAAAGCAGTTCAATCTCGAGTTTCTGCACCTTTTCAGAAAGATTCAGGCAATTTTAATCCAATCCTCTTTGCTACTAGGACCTCGCCCCAGGACGATGAGGTCCCACCTGACTTTCTGTACCTCGTCATCATCCTTCAACCTGACTGGTTGACCTCTCGGGAGAACCCGCTTCTTTTATGCTTTTTTTTTCTTTTTCTTTTTTTCTTTTCAACTTAATTTATTGATCTTCAACCCTCCCCCCTCCCCCTCCCCCCAAACTTTTTCCCCCATTTTGCAAAAGAATCTTTCCCCCCATTTCTAGAAAGAATCTTACTTTCTGTACAAAGGAAGGATGCTCTTTTATCACCTCCAGCAGTCGGACTCTACAGGATGCTTTTTCAAAAAAAAAAACAAAAAAAAAAACAGGGGGAAAAAAAAGAATTCGTCCCACATCCAGCATTACCTGACGAGCCGCGGGTCATTACACGACATGTAATGAAATTATTCCGCTAAGCGATTTTTTTTTTTTCTTATTTTTAAAGTGGCAGCAAATGAGCTATCAATTCGTACTGAACATGTCGGGTAGGCCCTTGGATATATCCTTCGCCCGCCAGGCACCGAGTCCAGTTCCGGCTGAGATAAAGGTGCCAGAGGGTCCCAATTCTCCAAATAAATGCTGACAAAATAAATTGCAACGTGGTGCCCAGGCTGGGCACGACCGACCCCTCCTGATCAGAACTCGGATGTCAAGATTCGGCTTGTGACTCTCGGTTTCTCCTTCCCCCCCACCGGGGGGGGGGGGCAGTTCGTTGACTTCCCCTCAGCCCTGTATAAATGCGCGGCTAAGGAATTCTGAGGCCAAAGACCCAAGGATAGGGTTCAGGGTTGGCAGAAGGAGAAAGAACACTACATCCAACCATATCACGTACTCCAGACTCTTGCTTTTTTATGAATGCTCCCACTCCACATTCACCATGTCTTTTCCCCCTTGGCTCGGCAGTTTCAAAGCTAAGCCGTTGGTGAAAACTCTCTCTCTCTCTCTCTCTCTCTCTCTCTCTCTCTCTCTCTCTCTCTCTCTCTCTCTCTCTCTCTCTCTCTCTCTCTCTCCATGGTGAAAACCCCTGGTGGCTCCTCCTCCATGGCCAGGGCTACCCCTGGTGGCTGCTCCAGCCTCCTTCCTTCACGAGCAGCAGCTGCTCCGCTCAGGCAGTCTAATGTCGACCTCACTCGTGAGGGCAACAAGTGGCCCCCAGCCTCCCAGCCCCGTCTTCCTTTCACACACCTTTCCCTCACCCTGGCGCAACAGCTTGCACTCTCTGCCTATCAACCCACCGTCGCCCAGCTGGCTACCAGTGGAGAACCACTAGGACTCCCCTTCAGCTCAGACTGCCATCATCCCTCCCTCGGTGCTGTTTTAACCTACCCCTACCGCTAACTTGTGTGCCCAGATACGGCTGGGAACGGCCGAGCACTCAAGTCCCGAAAGGTACCGGACAGCTAAAAGCCCTTCCATCGAGGCCTACCTACCTACCTACCTACCTACCTACTTACCTACCAGCTGCAGTTTGATCGTAAAACAAACGTACTTACCTTTACGCATCTCTGCTACTGTCGAAGTTGCAAATTTGTCCTTTTGAGACTCCTTACCTTTCTGAAACTTGGGTCCAAAGTATCGTTCCATCACTCCCAACAGTCAGTCCCCGGATTTACAGATAAGTCAATGGGCATCGCTCCACCACTCTCCACATGCACAAACGACAAAAATCATGGCGTTGTATATTTCCATGTTCTAGCTGAAGATTCTGTCTCGCATATTCACATTTGGAGAGTAGTGCAGCGCGGCTTAACAACTCAGTCCGTGACAATCAGCTCAGAACATGAATGAGTGCATGCGGGTGTGTGGCCACATCCAGGGACACAACACAGACGACATCACAAAATACTGGATAAGGACAGAATCACACAGTCCTGCGAGGAAAAAAAACACAGATGTCTCAGACAAAAGGTCACAAAAGTTGACAAAACCCAACGCGCCCAGCTCAGTTGGTTACACCCATGATGCACTGTTAAGATACAGACCCAAGGTCGAATCCCATGATCGATGATATCCCAAAGGCCGTCTCTCGTTTATAAAACTTAAATTATAAAGTTAGTTATAATTAAAAAAAAGCAGAAGCGGAAGCAGCAATTCTCAGGTGAAGCTCCGCAAAACTTTCAGACTTCTCCGACCAAAACCTTTTGCGAGAGCATCATCTGAGAATTGCTGCGTCAGCTGCTGCTTTCTGTTTTTTTATTTGTTGCATGACAAATGAAATCATAAGAAGAAGAAGAACAACAACAACAACAACAACAACAACAACCACCACAACAAAGAACAGTTTCCAAGCTACCTGCATCCGCTCCGCAGGCGTTAATCGTCTTCCCTGATGTGCCATGTACGATGGTGGATCCGGAAGAGAGGAAGGAAGAGCAATCTCCTTCAAATCATGGCGTATATAATCCGCAATCTTCCGGATTGCCACTCGCAGCTTCACCATCACAACTGCACGTCACACAGAAAGGGTCTCGTTTCGGGTATAAAAACAAGACCCGATTATGACAACGCGACACAGCTGTCCCACGCCCCGCCTCAGTGGGGGAAAAGTGAGAAGCGCCCCCTGCTCACCCTTCCCTCCCCTTTACTCTTCCGCACCCTCTCCCCCCCCCAGACAGCTCTTCGAACAAATCAGTTTCGACTCCCAATGTATGTATGACCTGCGCCAGGCAAAAAATCCAATCACAGAGCAGGCGCCTTATATCAGTCAGTCCAAATGTTTTTTTTTTTCGGCGGCCGGGGGCGGGGGGGGGGGGGAAGCATGGAGAGCCGAAAAGTTTTCCTTGCGGCTGGTGACAGCAAAAACCAAACCTCGCTCACTAAGGACTGGTAAAATACCTGGGGCCAGTCAGTTCAAAAGTTTTCCTTGCGACTGGTAAATCTGGGGCCTTTGATAGCATTTGGATTTGCAACTTTTTGGTGTCCTTGGGTATACCAACTGAGTTAGGTCTGATTTTTGCTGTCACCGGCCCCAAAAGGTTCAAATCCAGATGCTATCAAAGGCCCCAGATTTACCTGGGGTTTACCTGGGGCCGCCGGTCAGTTCAATGATGAGATGTCAAGTCTGGAAAGAAAAAGAAAAAAATAGGCCGCACAAGGCTGTAGCACACTGAACGCAAATCATAGCATAATAATGTACTTTTCTTTTGTATCATTGCATTGATTCCTCCTTGCCTCCAGCATTACCATTCCTCCTCCTCCTCCTCTTCCTGTCTGGGGGGGGGGGAGGGAGCGGAAGAGTAAAAAGGAGGGAAGGGTGAGCAGGGCGATTCTCACTTTCCCCCCACTGAGGCGGGGCGTGGGACAGCTGTGTCGCGTTGTTATAATCGGGTCTTGTTTTTATACCCGAAACGAGAACCTTTTTGTGTGACGTGCAGCTGTGATGGTGAAGCTGCGAGTGGCAATCCGGAAGATTGTGGATTATATCCGCCATGATTCGAAGGAGATTGCTCTTCCTTCCTCTCTTCCGGATCCACCATCGTACACGGCACATCTGGGAAGACGATTAACGCCTGCAGAGCGGATGCAGGTAGCTTGGAAACTGTTCTTTGTTGTTGTTGTTGTTCTTCTTCTTCTTCTTCTTCTTCTTCTTCTTATGATTTCATAGGTCATGCAACATCTAAGGGGAAAGGGGGAAAAAAAAAACACAGAAAGCAGCAGCTGACGCAGCAATTCTCAGATGATGCTCTCGCAAAAGGTTTTGGTCGGAGAAGTCTGAAAGTTTTGCGGAGCTTCACCTGAGAATTGCTGCTTCCGCTTCTGCTTTTTTTTTATTATGACTAAGTAACTTTATAATTTAAGTTTTATAAACGAGAGACGGCCTTTGGGATATCATCGATCATGGGATTCGACCTTGGGTCTGTATCTTAACAGTGCATCATGGGTGTAACCAACTGAGCTGGGCGCGTTCGATTTTGTCAACTTTTGTGACCTTTTGTCTGAGGCATCTGTGTTTTTTTTCCTCTCAGGACTGCGTGATTCTGTCCTTATCCAGTATTTTGTGATGTCGTCTGTGTTGTGTCCCTGGATGTGGCCACACACCCGCATGCACTCATTCATGTTCTGAGCCAATTGTCACGGACTGAGTTATTAAGCCGCGCTGCACTACTCTCCAAATGTGAATATGTGAGACAGAATCTTCAGCTAGAACATGGAAATATACAACGCCATGATTTTTGTCGTTTGTGCATGTGGAGAGTGGTGGAGAAGTGAGGTAGAAGGGTAATCGCGACAGTTGTCGCATGCCTGGACAGGACGTATACTGCGAAAGTAAAACCTCGCACGTGTTGTCTATTGTTGCAACTCTCTCTCTCTCTCTCTCTCTCTCTCTCTCTCTCTCTCTCTCTCTCTCTCTCTCTCTCTCTCNCTCTCTCTCACACACACACACACACACACACACACACACACAAAACACACACACACACACACACAAAACACACACACACACACACACACACACACACAAACACACACACACACACACACACACAAAGGGACACACCCAGCACAGCTCTCAGCCGTTGGCAGGCGGCTGTAGTCTTGTGGGTATAGCTGGGTAGCTGGTTGGCTGGCAGGAGGGTTGGCGAACTGTCGGGCGGGATAGGCGGCGCACGTTTGTCGGATTCCAAGAGTCCAAGAATGGCAAGATTCCAAGAAAGGCAGGCCGCGTGATATCCAAACGGTAGCAAACGGTAGCATTACCGTTTGTAGGACGCAGTAGAACGGGTCCCTGCCACCGTTTCAGCCTGCAATAGAGTGGCCGGGTGTGTTGTCAATTTGCACCCCGGCCAAACCTGAACCCAGCCATTTTCCGAGGCTGGAAAAAACCCTCTGGTTACCAACTGGCCCGCGCCGCACTACTGGTGGTTAAACCACCGCTACCTTTCCCATATGTCGGCTGCGGGCATCTAGTAAGCCTACTCCTGAAAAATAGCCGCCAGGCCGCCGTCGATATTTTTATGGACGGTGCGTGGCGGCCGAATTTGAATTTGAGGCCCGCGGCCCCACATATGAGAAAGGTAATGGTGGTTTAATAGGAATGACCACCATGCCTTCTACTCGGAGCAAGCCTATTATCCGTTCCTTCAAGAAGGTCTCCGGCCAAGGCGTACCGATCTCCGGATCACTTTCACACATATCTCTACCCACAAGCACCGGCGAACGCAAACTTCGACCTACCTTCTTCCCCCGAACACAACGTACGGTCATTATAGCTGTATTTGAGGCATCTTTCAGTCTAGATACAGCTATAATGACCGTACGTAGTTTCCTACTTTGATTATCGCCTAACCGAGCATCCACATTTACCGAACAGTATGTGACAGTAACGATCACGCCATTTACCGAGCAGTAATCTTCCAGACACTATTTACCGCAGAGTAATTTACCGAACACCATTCTACCGACGAAATAAATAGAGGCCTCACATGCTACGAAACTAGTCAGCACCCGAGGGCACATGTATCTGACCTTCTTTGTAGCCACACCACTCAAAAATCACTCAAAAATGACAATTCGGGTGTGATTATGCTTATTAGAACTACTCTTAAGACCAATTCCAATTCTATACGAAGAAATGAGCAGTCGCAGCCACGACAACAAAACATAGTATTACTTGGGGTTGGCGAAGCCAGAAGCCAGCCCTCCACTTATTCATACGATTGATAAGATCCCTTTTCCTCTTCTAAAAAGGGAAGCCCTCACATTCGCTCGGACGCACGCAAGCGAGCGGACCAACTCTCTCTCTCTCTCTCTCTCTCTCTCTCTCTCTCTCTCTCTCTCTCTCAATCTTGAGCCGACGATCCGTAAGGGGCCTCCGAACTAGACCGCAGGCGGCCGCAGAACAACGACCAGTGCATACCGCTCTGGCATTCAATAGCCACACACAGCCACCGCGCCAATCTTATGTTCTGGCACGCACTTGTACAACCATCTTGAGCCGACGATCCGTAAGGGGCCTCAGAACAACGACCAGTGCATTCCGCTCTGGCATTCAATAGCCACACACAGCCACCGTGCCAATCTTATGTTCTGGCACGCACTTGTACAAGCTCCCGACCACAAATCTGACGTATTCGGAAATATACTTCCTCTGACTCTCCGCATGATTACTCGTTGTTGCTCTTATGAGGCGCTGCTCAAGCCGTAAGACAGCAGACTAGAAAACGAGCTGGTTAAGTTCATGACTCCCAGAGGAACGCATGACTGAGTGAGCGAGCGAGTGAGTCCCTGATAGGAAAGGAAAAAGCCAGCACAATACGCTTTCTTCTAGTAGTTGCGCAATTTCGGGAGCACCGAATCGTATGCACACGCGTGCTATCACGAGACAGACACACCGAGTGCAGAGCGGCCACAGCGAGAGACGGCGAGCGCGGCAGGGCAGAAGCAGCGGAGAAAGGCAGGACAGCAGCACGGTGGGGGATAGCCGCAGTGGCAACCAGCTGGCACAAGGGGGGTACCAGCGGCGGCGCAAAGCGTGGGCGTAAGCTCCGCGGCGGCGAGGCGTAGCGGTGGCGTGGACATGAGATTCGCCACCGCGCAAATCCGAAAGCGGTGGAGGCGGCGGCGCAGGCGGAGGCGGAGGCGCAGGCGGAGGCGGAGGCGCAGACGGAGGCGGAGGCGCAGACGGAGGCGCAGGCGGAGGCGGAGGCGCAGGCGGAGGCGGAGGCGCAGCCGCGCAGGCGGAGGTGCACGCGCAGGCGACGGTGGCGGAGGCTGCGGTGGCGGCGGCAGGGGTGGCGGTGGTGGCGGCGGTGGTGGCGGCGGTGGTAGCGGCGGTGGCGGTGGCGGCGGCGGAGGCGGCGAGGTATTCAGATAGTCCTTTTGACCCGCAGCTCCATAGCAAAAGAGCGAGGAAGCGACTTCGGGCAAGCGCAGATATATCCGTCGTCGTCGCCACCAAACAGTTCGTTACGATGGCGTTCCAACCATAACCTCACTGATATTGCAATTCAAAAATGAGAACCTTTGCTCCAGAAACAGCGCAAGCCCAAGCCCTACGGAATGCCTTCCAAAGGTTCAAAAGGAATCATAACTTCTAAAGCCCCAGAAAGATAAAGGCGGCAGAGGGAGCGAGAAAGGGGAGAGAGGAGAGGCGGAGGAAGGGGAGGAGAAAGCGTACCAGCAGTGGTAGTAAGACCAGGGGGAGGAGGAGGAGGTTGTGGAACAGTAGGAGCGGTGGTCAGACAAGGAGGGAGAAGAAGGACGATGAGAGACCACTAACATGATGACGAACTTGAGCGACAAAAACAAAAACGATAGAACGAAGAGGAAGAGGGGGCAAAGAGGTGGAGGACGACTACGGCGAGCAAGGGAGAGATGAGAAGAAAAACAGAAAAGGCGGAAAGAAGTCCATGCAAAGAGGTTCAATGAACAGATTGATTGATTGATTTGATTTGTGGAGGGTCGCGCTGGTTGGCTGTTTAACCCGATCAATGAATCGATCAATCAATCAGTCAATCAACAAATCAGTAAATTAATCAATCAATCAATCAATCAATCAATCAATCAATCGATCAATCAATCGATCAATCCGTCAATCAACCAATCAAACAATTAATCAACAATCAATCAGTCAATCATCCAATCATTACAACGTTTTTCCCGACGGCCCATAGGGTCAGAAAGATTCGATAGCTGCTGCCTATGGTCTACGTGGCATGCTGGTGTGGCGCTGCCTCTGATATATGTGGCGCTGCCTATGGTCTACGTGGCATGCTGACGTGGCATTGCCTCTGGTCTACGTGGCATACTGATGTGAGCCTTAGCTGCTTTAAAAAACGCAAAAACAAAAGAAAGGGTAAGGAAAAAAAAAAAAAGAGATCATTAATAATCCACGGGAACCCAACAAGGTTCAAGAGACTTTTCGAAAGTTCAAGAGCCTTTTCGACACGCAAAGAAGGGACAGACGACAAAGTATTGGATATGCTCTTACGTTCTCGCGAACGCCTCTACTATGTAAGACTACGATACATCAATTGGACAAATACATATACATATATATGAGACCCTAAAGGAGCAATACGACAACCACGAAGTGGCAGACGCGAACTTTCGACGTCTTAGCTATGTGCGATACGCAGATGACTTTGTGATTGGCATTACCGGCCCTCTTCCTGACGCAATTGAGATACGTACGTGATCTAATATCGACCTTTATTAGTACGCTCGGACTAGAGCTAAACAAAGAAATTAAGATATCACATATTGATTGCGGATTCTTCTTCCTAGGAGAGAGAGAGGAGAGAAATCGTCAGAGAGAAAAGAGAGAGAGAGAGAGAGAGAGAGAGAAGCGAAATCGCGAGAGAGAACAGAGAGAGACGAACGAGGGGAAAGCCGGAGAGGTTGAGTGAGAGAAGCGAGAGGGAGGTGAAGACGAGCAGTGGGAGAAGACGGAGGACGGGTGAAGAAGTCGAGTAAAACGAGCGACGTGGGAACAGCGCACCATGTGGAGGCGCCCGTCATCCCTACCGATTGAATGGTCCGGTGAAAGTGTCTGCATCGCGGTGATATTCCCGCTGGAGATGCAGTGGAAGTTTATTGAACCTTTTATCATTTATTAGAAGTCGTAACAAGGTTTCCGAGAGAGAGAGGAAGGGTAATTGGAGGGGGGGAAAACAGCACGGAAAGAGAGCCACGTGGCGCGCGCGGGCGGGGAGGGTGAGCGAATCGAGGAGAAAGGAGGATCAAGACGACGAGGAGAAGGATGAAGACGATGAGGAGGAGGAGGAGGAGGAGCAGGAGGATCAAGACGGTGACAGAGGATGGAGAAGTAATAACAGGAAAAAGAAAGATGGCCACGTGGCGCGGGCAGGCGGGGACGTAGAGCGAGCCGAGGAGGAAGGAGGATCAAGACGATGAGGAGGAGGAGGAAGAAGAAGGCGGGCACGTTTCCACATTGGGGCACGACAGTGAGCAGTTTGATCCGAAAAGACGAAAAGGGCGTGCAAGGGGGGTACAACGCCCAAAAAGATGAGGAGCAGAAGGATCGAGATGACTTGGAGTAGAAGGAAAAAGACATGCAGGAGCAGGAGGAGGAGGAGGAGGAGGAGGCGGAGGAGGCGGACAACGAGGAGGACAAGGAGGAGGAGGCGGAGGTCGAGGGAGATGAGGAGCAGCAGGAGCAAGACCACGAGGACGAAAAGAGGAGGCGGAAGAAGAGGAGGACGAGGAGGCGGAAGTGTGTGTGTGTGTGTGTGTGTGTGAGAGAGAGAGAGAGAGAGAGAGAGAAAACGACCTGCTTGACGCTGCTCCTCCTGCCGCTCGTGCGCTGCCCTTACGAGGTGCTGCACCTGTTCCTCGCCCAGCTGTGGCCGCCTCGTTGCCCTGCGTCTCCCTCCCTTGCCGCAGGAAAGCAAACTCGAAACCCGAAGGGAGGGCGCCGGCCGAACAGGGGAGGCAAAGCTCCTGACTCGGCAGGCGGCTTTGCAAAATGGCAGCCGGAATAATGTGACACGGCCAAACACAAAAAGAAGAAGGAACCCTGCCGGATGCTACCGGTAGGCAGGGGTGGCGGGGAATTAGGGCCAGACGTGTGGTTGGCGGCAGCCCCGTGCCACGCACGTGGCATTCAGGAGGTTGTGGGTTCGAGCCCCACGACGGCCTGGGGCGCACTTAGTGCCTACCAACTGTGATAGTCCGCTTGATACCCCTGATCCGTATCACGGTAGGGTCTATGACCAACACGGGTGTGACTGTGAGCGTGAGCGGATTGTGTGCGGTGTGTGGTATGTGGTGTGCAGGAGAGTGTTGGCCATAGCCAGTGTTGCTAGGGGAGTAGATGGGAGGCCCATCTACTGGCAAAATGCTCTGTCTATCCAGCTGCCTAGCTTAGTTGGTAAGGCACGCAAGTGGCTTTCAGGAGGTCTTGGGTTTCAATCCTCATTGGCCTCATGTACCTTCCTGGGCGAGCTTGGTGCACCCCACCTAGAGATAGGCCCTTGGTCCCCCGAGTGGCATTGAGCAGAGACTGCTGATGTTCATAGGGGGAGGGGACCGGAGTGGAGGTAACGCGACTGGCCCATCGAAGAAGCTCGGTCCTGATGCTACCGGCTGACCCCTGGCCGGTATCGCCCACCTGCTGTAGCAGGTATCGCACCTGCTGGTGGGTGCAGCTCCTGCATATTCCCTCGTTGGAGGCTTGAGCACAGATGTGGCTGCTACTGGGTTCCCCGTAATACTACAATGAATGACAATGAAAAAGGCTTGAAAGGCTGTCCTGTCCAGATTCAACAGGTAATTGAATCAGTTGGGCTTAAAAGAATTAGCCTTAAACCACCAGTACCTTTGTCGGTTCGAAAATACTCGGCCTCCGACCTTTCAGGAGGCCGAAACGAAACGACGGCCACTGATCAGATTGATCAACGTCAGGCTTGGCCTCCTGAAAGTTCGGGTACTGGCCATCCCTTATCGAAAAAAAACGGACGCCAAAGAAACTAGTGGTTTGAAAAAAAAACAGAAAAACAAAGAAAAAAAAACTCAGTCTTTGCGTTAGCCAGTCTGTGATAAGCTAGGATCCGTAACTTGCGACTTCGCGTACCCTTCGCAGTAAAACCCGAAGTAAGCCCCAAAGCACGGATCCTAGCCGATCAGGGAAGGGTCCATTTTCCAATTTTGGGGATTAGCAATTGCCCCTGTCTAGCGCACGATCCCCTCTGGGGGAACCTTCCCGGTCGCGTCACGCAGGATTGGCAGAATTCGCAAGTCGCTTCACGAAAAGGGAAGCGGCGGAACCGCTCCGGCCGAGTGCGCCAGCTATACCTCCATCGAGTCCCTATGACAGGACAGGGTCTCGCGCGGTACAACTTACTTCCACCCGCGAGAGTTATCATCATCCCTTGGGTGGGCGTATCCCCGCCGAGCTACTGAACCACATGCGCAAGCTTTTACTTGCAATCGTGGAGGTGGTCCAACCGAGGACGTTTCTCGTATGTTGTAGCATAGGGGGTACGCGCGGTCCACGCCTAACTCGAACCCGTACACGAACCGTCACGCTGGGGCGTTGATCTCCCACGTGCGATTCAACGTCGGTCGACTAGGACATCCTAACTCAACCACGCGATACGCAACAAATCAAACTAACTTAAACAAACAAATAAGCCAAGTCCTTTTTTCATACATCCTGACCCATAACTCAAAAAAGTCAATGTGTCTGAGTGAGGCCTGCACAAAGTTGCATAAAAAGAATGCAGGCGCTATGAGAAACATAACGCTCAGTCATGTGTACTTACTTGATCTGCTGTCATAGCGACGCTTCATGCGTTACCCACATCCGCGCAGCCTCTCATGGGTTTCGGGGTTGCGTACGACACTCAAGTGTTGAAAGCAAAATATCGTGAAGGGTTCTTCCTTTATGATATTCCATGGCTGAAGGATAAACCGTGCGGCCCTTGCGGCGCCCATATCTTTTAGGCAGTGGGTGACAGTAAGCAAGAGGCGACAGCTCCCCTAGCTAACAGACCCGGGCGGGTAGGGACGATAGTAGAAGAGACCAATGGGGCAGTGTCTGCAGCGGTCGCCACTGAAGAAGCTGCAGAGCTTATCCCGCTTGATCAGTTTATATCCTTGGGATATCCGGGGTGGGTATGATTGAAGCAATCCGTCCGGCGGACGAAGAACGAGAGGTCTCGAAGTGGAGACCATCCCCCAGTGAAATGGAATCTGGTGGTCCCGCGTTCATTACCGGGGAGATCGATGTGCTCGATATCGTTCGAGCACTCGATCACCGCATCCCACTCCCAATCGGACACCTTCTGTCCATATCGGAACAAGCTACCATCACATGCTGCAACACTATAAAGCCAATCAAAAGCGGTCCGCACTCGCCAAACTGGCGGCGGCAAAAGGGAAAACCCCTGCGAACGAAGCAAAACCTGATGCACCGGGAACCTCAGAACCCGTGCGCCTGGGGCTCATTCAGAAAATAATCACTTTCTACGTATCAAAGTCATCCCGTGGAAATCCTCGGACTGTGACGTGGAAATTTGGGGAGCTCCCTACAATAACGATCGTAGATTCTGGAGCATTCGTATTAGCCATATCCCTGCGAGTAGTAAAAAAGGCAGGGAGACAGAAAGATTTGATTCCACTCACTAAGGGAGACCGTTTGATCTCTGTAGACGAAGAAAAAATCCGAGTGGTCAGGAGAGTGATAAATGTCGCTTTTAGAGTGGGAAAAGTCCACGCCTTGGGGTACGTAGTGATCCTCAACGTAAACTCGTATGATGTACTCCTGGGACTATTCGCCTTAAACGCCCTTCAGGCCAGCCTAGACTTCAAGCGACGGGTAGTAGTTCTCAAAAACACGGGTGGCAAGCCATGCACAATCCCTATGCGTCTCACCCTCCGTACAACGGTCGGCTCGACACGTGGAAGCCATCCGGATACCGTTGGGTCGATCCGAATGGTCACATGGGAAGAACTGGCTGACGATTCAGAAACCTCCAGTGAGGGACAAATGTCCCCACCTCCTGAGGACTCGGAAAGTGAAAAAGAGGCAGATTCGACGATCCAAGAGCTGACGCGGAAGGTAATCCGTTACCCAGTCCAACAGAAAACGACAAAGACGTTCGTGCTTACCGAAGAGAGAGCCCGATGGACCCGGACTCGTATCACATGGGAGCCGCTAGTACAAGTGTCGAGGATGCTCGATTCTTCGGAACCCCCTCGAACCCCATATGAGGGAGCTATCCTCCCCTTGTTACCACGATACCTGGACAAACGCTCGTTTTGTGATGTTACAGACTTACCTCCCCGATCGCTTCTCACAATGGAAAAGGAAGTACAACTACTACGCCTAGGAGCGGAAACACCGGCTTCGGAATCCCCTGGGTACCCCAAAGCCCCGCTATTCGAAATTGGGATAAAAGTCGCCGAAAAGTCGGTGGACCCTCGGGACATCGAGGACGGGATAACCCCCGAGGAACACATGGTCATCCGAGAAGAAGAGGTTCAGATGGTGGCCACCACATTCTCGTGGCAGTCGGATAACTCTTTTATCTCTTCCCCATTGCCCCGAGACACGAAAACAATACCCACTACACACGTGTCGGTCATCATTCATGGACAGCCCAACGAATTACATTTGTCGGAATGCATGCCCGACAAAACTCACCGACTAATTGCGGATATTCTCACTGAGTATCGAGACGCTATTAGCATCAAGGATGCAGACATCGGGTTGTCTCTGGTCATACAGCACGAGATTCAGACCGGTAATCACCCACCAATCCACTCCAAGCCTTACCGGTACTCACTTGCGGAACGGAAGGCGGCATTAGAGCGCATCCGCGAGCTCGAAGCAAACGATTGGATCGAACCCGCCACAGGTCCTTGGTCTTTCCTGGTAGTTTTAGTTCCGAAGAAGAACGGATCTATTCGCATTTGCATTGATTATCGACAATTAAATGATATCACGATCAAAGATGTGTTTCCTCTCCCCCGAATTGATAATTTGCTGGATGCGATTGGGTATGCTAATTATTTTAGTAAATTTGATATTCGACATGGATTCCACCATATCCTGGTAAGAGAAGAAGACTTGCTGAAGAAAGCCTTTGTGTTGTTTGAAGGCACGTGGCAGTGTTCCATGGACACGCACAACATATCGAATGGACACTTGGAGCGCTGCGGGACGCTGGCTTCAAGATCGCGTTGGAGAAAAGTGATTTTTTTATATATGAGATCTCGTTCCTTGGGTACGTGGTAACCACAGGAAGCTTGAGACCGGATTCGAGGAAATTCGAGGCGGTTCGGGAAGCGCCCACGCCTACGTCACTGACGCAGGTTCAAGCCTTTCTAGGACTGGCCTCGTATTACCGGCGGTTCATCAAAGGATTCGCGACAATTGCTCGGCCTGTGACGATCCTTCTACAGAAGGACCAGCCGCTGAATGTGACGTGGAGTGTGAACGGGCCTTTTCCACGCTGAAAGAGGCCCTTGCCTCGACACCTATTCTAATTCGGCCTGATCCCGAGTGACAGTTCCGACTCATTACTGATTGGCAACCCGAAACAATCTCCACTATCCTGACTCGAAAAGGAAAGGACAGGTGGGAACACGTGGTCGAGTATGCTTCTCGAACAGTACCAGATGAGAGGAAGAATGACTCAGCGCCCCAAGGAGAGTGATATGCCGTAGTCTGGGGAATCCATCACTTCCACCCATATCTCTACGGGCGGAAGTTCCTCCTCGTAACGGATCATGAGCCCCTGCTGGCACTCAAGAAACTCAACAACTACACGCGTATGATTGGGCGATGGGCAGTAAGGCTGCAAAAGTACGAGTTTGACATTGTCCATCGGAAAACGGAGAGGCACGAAAATGCGGACGGGGTAACAAGTCTGCATAAGCTAGGCAAGGTGCCGCGTGGCGAGGAGAGAGCCGGAGTCGCCCAAGGGGCCCAAGTACGGCCAGGTGAAGGTGCTCCCTCGACAG